GGAAACAGAAGCTAGAGCTGTTCATTTAAAACAATGTTAGCCGGATTTATTCCAAAACAGAAATTGGAACATTAATTCATTGTCTTTGGTCATGCCATAAGTTACAAATATATTGGTCTAATATCTTAACTGAAATTGAAAGAATATTAGGAAAGAAACTACAGATGGACCCAATGTCTCTTATTCTGGGCCTTCCAGCAAGACATTTTCTGTTGAAAAATCCAACTGTTTTGTATTCTTACATATGCAGCTAGGAAGAATATTTTATTGCAGTGGATAAGTAATAGAGACCAAGCTGTTAAAGGCTGGCATAGGGTGCTTTTTGAGTTGATACCCTTGGAATATTCAACATGTATGATACACTCCAAATCGAAAATTTTTTATAAAGTATGGGAACCGTATTTGAACTACCTTGACCTGAATGTATCAGCCATTTTGTTAAAAGGATTTCCTGAAAGGTCATAAAGGAAGGCATGCTGTTGTACTTTTTCTATTTTTATTTTTTCCTCCATATGTGGAACTGTATATGTGTAGCTGAGCCGCTGTGTGTGTGTTTTTCTTTCTTTTGTTTGTATTTGTGTACTTGCTGTGAAATTGAAAATGAATAAATATATTCTTAAAAAAAAAAAAAAAGTTTTAGGAGGGAAAAGAGTTTTTTTTGGCGCATCCTAAGTTGAGTTGAAATTATGTTGATTAAACGGCTGCTTTATTGAATGAGAAAATTATCCATCTTATGTGTAACTCCAGATGGGTGTTATATTATTGTGAATTTAAAACTACCCGCAGGAAATAAACTAATTGGGCTATAGTTTCTGGAAATTTCAAATGAATGTTTTATGGCTGTCAGCATATTAATAATTAAGGACAAAATGTATTTAAGTAAAATGCATAGTCAAAGAACTGTGGAATTGATTCCCACCATAGAATCCTGTAGAGGCATGGATGCGTTTAGCTCTGGACACAAGAGGGAGGGAGTGTGTTTGGATATATGTCTGTGTGTGTGTGTGTGTGTGTGTGTGTGTGTGTGGGCGTGGCTGGGTTTGGATGATGGCCTGATAATTATCACCTGTGTCTGCCCATGGAGTTTGTCTTTTGTTTGTGACAGAGAGGGTTGACATAGGGGCCGATATTTTCTGTTGACCGCAAAGTAACAAATCAATAGCCAAAGTATCTTTATAGTCAATATACAATCTTGTCAACGTGTATTATGCAAGAAAAATAAAAATAAACACCCTTCAACCAGTATTGGAGCCAAGTTTCATCATTAGAGTCAGCGAGTCATACAGAGCCCTACGTCCTTCCCTCAGTGACTCATTTGGAGTGCGATAGTCACCCTACAAATCTTATAAGGAAGCATGTTCTGTTTGTCCTGTTGTTGTTTTGTTTTATGTTTGTTTATTTAACCTGAAACAGATCTGTTGCTTTAATCTAATAAGCTGAGATCTCTGAAAAAAAAAGATGAACGTGATGATGGAGGTAAATCGGTAATTATCACCCCTGAATCTGACTATTAGCTTTAGAAGAATGACCATCAGAATTTAGAATATTGAACTAAAGTAAAAGAGCTGCCACAAATAAAGAAAGCTGCTGTAGGTGAAGAGAGAGGGGAAGCTCCGGTTAAAGAGGGATTGTTTTTTCAGGTGACATGTTGTTAATGGACCTCTTTTGAGTTTCTCTGAACTGTTCTTTTTTTATTTGGCCCTGTTGTGTAAACTCCTTGTGTGCACAGCCCTCTTTCCTGTTAAAAGGATGAGGGACAAAGGTCAACTAGACAAGTGGAGTTTTGTCTAAATCAACCAGCCGAGGACACGGTAACTTCAACTATAACGCTGAGCCAAACCAACGCCCTATCAGATAAACAGTTTTTGTTTTATTCATATATCAATCTCTTTTTGTCCTGTATTTACGTTCAATTAAATGAACAATTGAAGCTGATTGTGAATTTGAGGCTCGCTTTCGGACATTCATGCACCTTTTGTACAAATTGCTCAGAAAGTATCTCAGGCCTGAAAGTCCTGGCCCTTTCCATCTGAGTCTGTTCTTTTGTGAATGACCTTCTCTTTTGCATGCCATCCGGAAAGCAATGTGGAAGACACAGAGGGATTGTTGCTCAAACACGTAATGTGTGCCAGCTTGTCCAAGCCACTCAGTATACGTAAAGGTTCACTCACAATTAGAGGACCTTTCAAACATTTCAAACTGGGTTTTATCTGTTAAAATTCACAGTCGAGACTTCCGGAACGGACCACCATCATAATGGTCGCATAGTGAGAGCGCTCCTGGTTGAACCGGAGGAATTAGAGAAATTCTCCCCTTAAAAACTAGATAAATATACCAATACAATAACTTAAAAAGGGGGATGAGACTCTACCACTAATTTGAGAACTAAACGCCGACTGAAGTCAGGTGGGTGAGGAAGAAAGGACGCAGCAACAACTAGCAGCTAACGGGTTGAAGTTAACAAGTCACGAGGAGTAGTGCCTGAAAATGACCGACACTGAACTGATCTTGGGAGAATTAAAAGGGTTTCGCCAAGAAAATAAAGAACAATTTGAGACGATAAAAGAAGAACTTGCGAAGGTGAACACCAGGATGGAAGAAGTGGAGGGACGTGTGGAGAAGGCAGAGGAAAGGATCCTAAATACGGAGGAGGTTATCACGGCTATGCTAAAGCTACACGCTACGCTGGAAGACAAATTGATGGATCTGGAGAGTCGATCCAGACGAGAGAACATAAGGATATATGGGGTACCGGAAGGATCCGAGAAGGATTCGACGATGATCTCATTTGTCGAAGTACTACTCCGTCAAGGTCTTGAATTGAATGAAGACATCCCTGATCTCCACATCGAAAGAGCTCACCGGTCTCTGGGGCCGCAACCTCCAGCCGAAGCCCCACCGCGCTCCATCATAATTAAATTTTTGAGCTTCAGAACCAAAGAGATGATACTCCACAAAGCCTGGCGGAGGAAGGGGTTTACATGGCAAGAAAATCACATCAACCTGGACCACGATTATCCACCTCTCATACTTAAAAGACGAAGGGAATATAAAGAAATCCGCAAAGTCTTGAAGGAAAATAACATCCACTTCCAGACCCTCTTCCCCGCGAAGCTGCATGTTAGATACGAAGACGGAACCATAACCTACGATACGGTAGAGGAGGCGTCAGAGGATCTGCTGAGACGAGGCTTCAATGTGCCAACCATTAAACCTCCGGAAACACTCATGGAGCAGGTGCAGCAACTGTCCTGGACGAGAATGGATCGACGAGCGATGAAGGGCACCTTTAAAGCCGGCCGGGGCTCCAGCTACAAGGATAAGCTGCGAGCCTTCAGGAGAACACCTGCGACCCCCTCCGGGACTTAGCGGATCTTCCCCAGGCCGAAGACGGCGGGAGGAATTGTGAAATATCTCCAACCAAATCTGTAACTAGTGGTGGAAACAAACTTTTGAATAATCCGGTTCAATCGGGACCTTCCTTTTTCTTTTTTCTCTTCGTTTGGAGTTGGGAAACCTTTCTCGGTTTTTCCTTTTTTTTTCTCGCGACATGCGACTGTTGCAGGTAAGGACCTCCCCCCCTGGATCGAGGAGGGGAACTTTTTCCTTCGAACCCCTTGGAGGGTCTCAACAGGGTCAGGTTATTAGACCCCTACCTAGGAAGTTACATGGACAAATTATGTTCAGTTCTTTGTTTATTATGCTAATTGTTTGTTCCCTGCCGGTTCTCGCAGGAAGGGGGAAATGCACCAGGTTTTTGAGTGAGATGGAGGGGGGAATCACATAGATGCAAAACGGATCTTTAAAAATAGCATCATTTAATATAAATGGAGTACTCAATCCAGTTAAGAGGGAAAGAATTTTATCAAAATTAAGGAAAGATAAAGTCCAAATTGCTTTTTTGCAAGAGACGCACCTCAACGACTCAGAACACGCCAAATTAAATAAACAAGGATTTAAACATGTTTACTTCTCTTCACATGATTCGGGGAGGCGAAGGGGAGTGGCGACCCTCATATCCAAGGCTGTAAATTATGAGCACATTTCAGAATATAAGGACAAGGAAGGTAGATTTCTTATGGTCATAGGCAAAATAGAAGGAAGCGTGATAACTTTCCTTAACGTATATATTCCTCCCGGAAGTCATTGGTCTTTTTATAAACAAGTAGTTGATATAATGACAACCAAAAGTCAAGGGATTTTAATATGCGGCGGAGACTTCAATGTTCGATTAAATCCGAAAATAGATTCTTCGAACGGGAAACCTGACGCAAAAAACACTAGCAGAAGATTAAACACCTGGATGAATGAGATGGGGGTCGTGGACGTTTGGAGAGAAAGAAACCCAAAGAGTCGAGATTATTCACACTACTCACATGCTCACAATGTCTACTCCCGCATAGATTACTTCTTTATGTTCAAGGGGGATCTTTTTAGGGTAGACAGCAGTGAAATAGGTCCTAATACTCTTTCAGATCATGGCCCCATCTACATCTCAATCCGTCTGAGTAATAAGAGGAGGTTCACTCTGTGGAGACTGAACTCTAACATTTTGAACAAATTGGATATTAGAGATAAACTAAAACGTGAAATTAATCTATATTTAGAAAATAATGATAATGAAGAAGTGACCCCTCCTATAATCTGGGACGCATTAAAAGCAGTGATTAGAGGTAAAATTATATCCATAACCTCATATGAGAAGAGAATCAGAGCAAAGAAACTCCAGGATTTAGAAGAGGAGTTGAAAAGATTACAGAGAGAACATGCAAAATCGCCCAAAGATGAAAACACCAACCATAGGATTATAAAACTTAAGAAAGAAATAGAAGAAATAAACATCCAGGAAATCCAAAAGAAGCTTATTTTTATAAAACAGCAATATTATGAGATAGGTGGGAAATCCCTGAAACTTTTGTCATATAGGTTAAGAAGACAACAAGCCTGTAGAACTATACATAAAATAAGAAATAGTGTAACAAATAAAATAGAAACTAATCCGGAAGAAATCAAAAACTCCTTTCAAAGATATTATGAAACACTATACTCTCAAATACAGACAAGCAACGACAATCAGACCGATGCCTTTCTGGAAAAGATCAATCTTCCAACGGTCACTGATGAACAAAATAAAAAATTAATATCTAAAATTACAAAAGAGGAAATCCAATCAGCAATCAAGAGAACTAAAAAGGGAAAATCTCCAGGGACAGACGGATTCACTACAGAATGGTATAAAATTATGCAAGACCAACTAATACCAACATTAGAGAAAACCTTCAACTGGGTTTTGGAAAATAAAATTATTCCACCCTCATGGAAAGAGGCCGTGATTTCAGTCATACCCAAGGAAGGAAAAGACAAATTGGAATGTGGGAGCTACCGTCCTGTAAGTCTTCTAAACAATGACTACAAACTTTTCACCTCCATACTATCTAAAAGAATAGAAAACATATTACCAGATTTAATACATAAAGACCAGACTGGTTTTGTCAAGCAGAGACGGACCCAAGACAACATTAGAAAAACATTACACATTATGAAGGAACTTACTCAACAAAAATTAGAGGCACTGATATTAAGTCTAGATGCAGAGAAAGCATTCGATTCGGTGAGGTGGTCATTCTTATATAAAGTGCTTTCAAAATTTGGGTTTCATAAAACGATAATTGACACATTTAAATCCTTATACAACAAACCAACAGCTAGAATCAAAATTAATGGAGATCTGACCAATTCATTCACTTTGGAGAGAGGAACGAGACAGGGGTGTTGTGTGTCGCCGCTTCTCTTTGCCTTATATATTGAGCCCATGAGTCAACTTATCAGGCAGAGTCCAGATATAAAAGGGGTTTCAACGACATCTGGGGAGCAAAAACTATCCTTGTTTGCTGACGATTTATTGATAAATATAACGCAGCCCACACAAACAATCCCAAAACTGATGAAGTTACTCGAAGAGTTTAGTTTAATTTCTGGTTACAAAATTAACATAAATAAAACTCAAGTATTAACATTTAACTACGATCCACCGTCTTCAATTAAGACTGTGTACAACTGGAAGTGGGAGGCTGAGTCTATCAAATATCTGGGTGTGTCACTACCGAGGGACTTCTCAAAACTGTTTGATATAAATTATGGCCCACTAAATTTGAAAATAAAATCAGATTTACATAGATGGAATGTTATTCTCTTTTTGGGTTTGAGCTCCCGGATAGAATCCATTAGAATGACTCTCCTTCCACAGCTACTGTACTTATTTCAAAGTTTACCCGTCAGAATTCCACCTAAACAGTTCTCAGAATGGGATAGATTAATAGCAAGATATTTATGGCAGGGTAAAAAGGCCAGAATTAAGTTTAAAACTTTACAACTAAAAAAAGAAAAGGGTGGAATGGGTCTTCCCTGTTTGCAGGATTACTACCACGCAGCCCAGCTGAGATCTTTAGTCTGCCTGTGCTCATCATCATACACCGCAGCATGGAAGGAAATAGAAAGCACAACAATAAAAGGAATCCCAATAACAGCC